ATATGGATGGCGAAATCACGGCCATTAGTGGCTCGGCAGCGGACTGCCAAGCCATCACCACACCCATTACGACCCCCAGCGGTGGTCATGGGAGCTGATACTTATAGTGCGCATGTACCGAAAAACGAGGCCATTGTCCACCTGTGGTCCTGCCTATCAACGAGAATCCTCTTCGCTTTTGCAGTGTCTGTTCAAAAATTCTGTTTTTTTTTTCAAGTTACCACAAATCAGGCCTCTAAAACGCTGCTTGTATGTTGTATAGTGCTATCGGTGGGGTGGCGTGCGGTAGTTGAAGTTTATTGTTGACAGAGTCTAGGGCACCCGAAAGATTGTCTCTGCGACTAGAAATGCCCCGCTCACCTAAAATAGCTGACCTTACGATAAATTTCTGAAGGGGTAAATATTCCTATCTATCCCTACCTGTTTGCGGTCCTCAGTCAGTCATGCGAACTTGAGGTTTCAACCTGCACCCACTTTATCTTTGAGCCAGTGTCCTCGCTCTGAGATAGGGTCTTACTCTTGCGATCGGAACTATTCAGTCAGATGGCAGTGGCGCAAGTAAATAGCTTATATTCTTTTTTTCCTCCCTCAGAGTGGCTGCATTCGTAGTTTCCAAACTGTGATTTATAAACAATGGTCCCCACATTGAACATAATCTTGTGATGAAGTCGAATTGATTGTAGGGAATTAATCTACCAGGCATAACTATCTGCACATTGCACTGGCGCTTGAGTAACTTAACTCACTTTCACACCACTTCTTGAATTTAAATGCATCTGCTGTTCTGTCTTCCTGCTTTTTCAGACCCAGACTACGGCTCGATCACATTCGCCCACCCTTCTACCGATCAGCAGGAGTGATCGCCTCTTATTATGTTTCGCCCCCACCCCATCCTGCTCCCACACTTACTTTTAATACTGTATTTTTTACTTTGATAGTGTTTTATTATAACACCCAGTTACTCTTCCGCTCCCGGTTCTTAGCCACCCACCCACTCATGCTCCGCACCTGTCAGCCACTTACTGACCCTGAAGTGTGTTTGGCTATCTGTTTGCTTGTTAACACACCGTGCTGCATTTATTTTTTGTATTATTATCTTGCCAACTGTTGACTTTCTGTTTCTGTTTAGCAGCTGTCGGAGTTTTGGGCGTCGCCAGCGGTGTGGTTTTCGGTGACTGAGAAGCGATGAGGCAGTGTTGGAGCTGAAGCTGGAGGGTTCACCAGGGTATCCTGTCTGTTGTGGCGTAGGGGATGACGTGCTTTGGTTAAAAAGCAAAGATGTTTTGTGATAATCGGGACTCGTAAACATTTGACAGTCCGACGGTCAAGCGACGGTTTATACCGCGTACCTTCTTCCGGTTAGGAAATAAAATGCCCTCTAACAAATAACGATACATTGTTGTTGTACAGTAAACGAAGGTGATTGACACGGCAACCAGATAGAAATGTAACTCGCCGATTCATGCCAGTCTGATCTTCAGTCTATCAGGGTTATGACCACTGCTTTGGGGCTTGCTATGTAGCAAGTGCCGATGTCCATTGCGTGTCCAAAAGGAGTGGGCAGCACCGTTGACTGGCTGACAGAGTTGACGGGTCTCTCACCTTCGCAAATTCGCGTTGTTCTAATGGCAAGACAATATCAAGCTAATCTGAGGTGATTGAAGGAGCAGCAAGTTAGGAAGCTAAACAACCCGTCTACATGTGCTACACACGTGGCCTGGTCCCCAATGTATTTTCAGTGTGCAGTAAGTTTGTCCCTGATCTGTGGTCAATGGTAATGTCATAAAGGGCATACTAAGAGGCTGCCAGTGTAGTCTGAAGCAATCCTCCGGTCCGGCAAAAATACTCCCCATGTAGGCGGGCATACTCCGTCAGTTGGCGGCCTTCTATAGTGCGACTCTTAGAGCGTCGCGATTGCTTAAAGCACGTCACAGTTAGCATACCAAGGATGTGGCGATGAATTTCCTAGTCTCACCCTCACTTCCTTTACCATCCGAATGCTGGAGTCTGTCTGTCGAGTAGAGCAATGTATTCGATCGGAACAGGCACACACCGAGTAGTTGATGTACTTTGACTAGAATATTCATATTAACTTTCAAATTTGGCCTGAAAAGGTTTGTTCCCATGGGGTAAATCAAAGTTTGTGCATTAATTCTGTTCAAGATTAAGCAAGACAGTGTGAAAACGAGTTTATATACCAAAAAACATACGGAGAAAGGTGGGGGACCCATTAATGAGCCCAACCCCAATGCATGTAACTGCGACAAATGCCGGGAAAATTTGTTTTAGGAATAAGGTGGGGGTTGTGGTCAAGGTTTGGATTCTTGTTATTTGTAGAGCTAAGGGTAAGATTACGGTTGCAATTTAATTTTGTTTTGGCGTTAAGACACGAAAATATTTACCCCTCCTGAAATGTAACGCAAGGCCATCTATTTTATGTGGATGGTGCCTCCTTATTTCCATATCCTGTTTAGGTGCCTATACAAGCCATCCGTTTGTATGTCAAATCAGCAGACTCGTTAGCATCCCGAAGCCACTAAACTCCTTAATGGTTGCAAAGGTCACAGTCGGGTGACCAGCCTGAATTCGGCCAAATCATGGTAGCAGGTAGAGGAGGCAACAAAGAATGCGCGTAGAGAACTAATCCGGGGTTTTTCGGCCTTCCTTCAGCCTATCATAACGCCGAACATCATCTGTGAGCTAAAACAGAGACATATAGTAGATTCCCTATCTCATTAAACGTCACTCGGAATTCTGAAATGAGTTTTTGATTGGAACATATTTGCGGATGGTTGAAACAGAGACTACCGTAAAGCCTAATTTCAACATACTATGGACACTTCAGGATGCCGGCTTTTTAACGAGCTTCTTTCTGACCGCCAAGAAAAAGTATGCACTATAAAAAGTAGCTACTTATGTAGCATGCCTTTTTGTCACTAATTTTGACTGCCTTTATAGATTCAAATATATTTTTTGGAAAACATGCACGAAAAATTATTTCTTGTATTCATTTGGTAGCAAACTACGCCTTCTTTAAATTTTATACTTAAGGAATGGTGTCTTCGGTTTTAAAAAAGTTTCTAAATTGCCGAATAATTTTGAAACCTAATGACTGCTACACTGGAATTCAAGGTTTACAAACTGCGCACTGTGTACATCCCGTTTAAGGAAAAGTAAGTTTCCGCCTACAGTTTGAGGAAAATCTCGCATAGTTATCATAAAAATATTAAAATAGATATGGAGCATGCTTTATAGAGTAAAGGCAGCATTAACAAATTGACTGATAGGATGTTCACTGAATGAATACCTGAAAATTGTAAAAATCTCTGAATTATAAACTTTTTACTACCGAAAGATACCCTTTCTTTAAGTATAAAATTTAAAGAAAGCGTAGTTTGCTACCAAACC